ACACAATCAATAGCTAGAATAAAGAGCGTGGGCATAGGTTATGGCGAAGTGGAAGGATAATCTCAAGTCATAAAATGGATTCGAAGAGCAATTTTCCAAATGTTGGTGTTTAACCACATGATGAAGCATTCTGTTCGTGAGGCTCCAATTCCATATTGATCTCGGTTGATCTCCATAAACTCTTGATTCCTTCCCGAAAAGAACATTCAAATGCCAACAAGTGACCGGGAAAGTATTCACATTTCCTAAGCATCTACTCTTAATTACGTTCCAACTTCCTACATCCAATGTTACTTTGAAGGATAAGTCATCAAATTAGTCTCGTAGTACCATTATGTAACCATTTAATATTTGAAATCGTCTTACCTTCAGCAAAGCCAAGACTAACATGAAATAAAAATAACCATTTTTGCATCGTATTGCGTGCGATAAGCCACACCTAATTTGATCATCGCATCGCCCCGTCCGTCTGCGTCAGTAAGCAATGATCATTGCAATTTTCAGTGCACAATATTATGCTGCATCTATCATAATGCATGAATATCATGGGGCCCAATTTGATGTTAAATACATTTAAAAATAACTGAGTCATTATTTCCAAAACACACTCTCGTTTGTCGCATGCCGCGCAGCAATTGTCTCACATCTAGCTTGATTAGCAAAATACACGTTCATCACGTGACTAGTTACGATAAGGCCTTTTTAGCCTTTATCCAAGCTGGTAGATCTTATTCAAAAGTTTATCCACCTTTGTAACTGGAACGCATGCTTACACGGTCGATTATGATCCGCAATAAGTTGCTTCATGCGAACAATAAAGGCTTTTGACGTGCCGTCCTTTTGCTCTCTTGACTCTCACCATGTTATTTTGCGCTGGTGCCACAATATGGAGCTCCAGTGAAGCCCACACAGAAGCACGGATTGCTGACTTAGGGAGGGACGCCTCCAAAACAGATACGTAGCTGGCCGTGCCCCTCTAGTCGCGAGACTCGCAGCCAGCGCTATTTTGTAGACTGCAGACATTCTAACGAGAGATCTCGAACTCTCACCAAAACTTAGCTCAAGATACTGCGAAGCACCGATTGCAGAAATACCCTTGAAGATAAACAGGCGTGTGTAGCAGACAAAAAGACATGAAAATGTGATGAGGAGAAGCCGAGAAACACTCTGTTGTGTCCCATCCATGCGTTTTACGAACATCGTCGAATCTGTCAATGAGACACAAACTCAAACACACATAAACGTCAGCGTACGATAGGGATGCCGAGTGCCCATACCAAGCCAAGCCCTTCTAAGTCGATCTGAAGACTTCAGCTGTGAGAAGCGGCTGCTGTCGGTGCGATGAAGTCAGGGAAAAGGCTTCTCGCAGGATGCTACCACAGAAAATCTTCAGCAGAATTTGCACCTCGGTCGGTAGTTATGCAGCCTGGGTGAGTCTTCTCGTTTACCTTCCACTTCTTGGGCGAAAATTACTTATTCACTTTTTTAACGAAGGTGCGTTCACACACTTGTCACACTGTCACTTATAGCGTCACTATCGCACATCGTTTGTTATTGATTTAGCAGCTCGCGCAACTGGTGGCCTTTTGCCGGCACGGCCCTCGCTGGTCGTTGGCGGCAGCTGGCACGACTTTCACGTCAACTTCGTATCCGTTTGCTGTCAATACCTTTGGAGACGGGCGTCTGATGAGCTTCAGGTCACCGTAGGTCACGACCTCGGCAACGACAGCTGCAACGGCAGGCGCGACGTAATGCCTACAACGACGCCTTTGACGGGAACGACGCCAGGCTCTCTCTGCGACGGCTGCGACGTGACGCGTGCGACTGCCCGGCGCCGCTTCCGACGTGCTGACGACCGTCCGATCTGTGTTGACAGAGGAGCGCGGCGCCGTTGCCACGGCGGCCAGCGCGCGGCAGTCGCGCCGCGTTGCACCTGTAACAGCGCGCAATGTTTGTCCAATTCGCCTAGAGACGGCGATCGATGCGAGTGGGGCAGCGAGGTGCGGCAATCCATAGCGCACGGTGGCTGCTCCACCATTGTGCGAGTCATGTAGGACCGACGTGAGGCGCGCGCCGACATGTGCAGAGGGCACCGGGCTTCCCTCGAGGGCAGACGGGTAGCGCGGGGCGGTGTAAAACGGACACTGACAGACAGACCCGGTGGAGCCCACTGCGACTGTCGGACTAATGAGGGCGGGTGTGTCCAGGTGTATAACCGGTGCACGTGCGGCAGTGGGTCAGAGCGACTGCAGCACACTACTGAACTGACCACCATCGATCGACCGCCGCTGGAGCGGACGTGGTCCAAACAAACAGGTGCCACTGGGCGCCGACAATGTTGCCGCGAGGACGCCCCGCCGTATTGACGGAAATGTCAGGGGCCCAGGAGGAACTATTGAGCTCAGCCGGGTGTCAGGAAGAGCGATAGAACCAAACCGAGGTGTCAGAAGGAACTACAGAGTTTAAGCGGAGGTGTCAGGAGGAACGATATAACCATAACCAAGGTGTCAGAGGGAACTAACTAGAGAGCTCAGACGGAGGTGTCAGAAGGAACAACAGTGAACAGAGATAAGACGGAGGTTCCAGTAGGAACGACAGAACTACACGTGTTTGGAGAACAATACAACCAGAGGGATTGTCCCGGCAATTCGTGTCATTTTGGGGCACCATTTGGAAGGCTTCCGCACCGTTCACGACTAGTTCACGTAGAGTCACACATAGTTGGCGCGTAGTTTACGAGTAGTTAACACATAGTTATCTGTCTCTCTCTGTCTCTCTCTGTCTCTCTCTGTCTCTCTCTGTCTCTCTCTCTCTCTCTGTCTCTCTCTGTCTCTCTCTGTCTCTCTCTCTCTGTCTCTCTCTCTGTCTCTCTCTCTCTGTCTCTCTCTCTGTCTCTCTCTCTCTCTGTCTCTCTCTGTCTCTCTCTGTCTCTCTCTGTCTCTCTCTGTCTCTCTCTCTCTCTGTCTCTCTCTGTCTCTCTCTGTCTCTGTCTCTCTCTGTCTCTCTCTGTCTCTCTCTGTCTCTATCTGTCTCTCTCTGTCTCTCTCTGTCTCTCTCTGTCTCTCTCTCTCTCTCTCTCTCTCTCTCTCTCTCTCTCTCTCTCTCTCTCTCTCTCTCTCTCTCTCTCTCTCTCTCTCTGTCTCTCTCTCTCTCTCTCTCTCTCTCTCTCTCTCTCTCTCTCTCTCTCTCTCTCTCTCTCTCTCTCTCTCTCTCTCTGTCTCTCTCTGTCTCTCTCTGTCTCTCTCTCTCTCTCTCTCTCTCTCTCTCTCTCTGTCTCTCTCTCTCTCTGTCTCTCTCTCTCTCTCTCTCTCTCTCTCTCTCTCTCTCTCTCTCTCTCTCTCTCTCTCTCTCTCTCTCTCTCTCTCTCAATTACACCACAAGAAGAAGCAAGGACAGTAAAAAGTCCGGGGCTGCGGCCTCGGAGTTGGAGTCGGTCGGAGTCGATAGTTCTGTCCCGAGTCAGAGTCAGAGTCGGAGTCGCCAAAATCTTACCGACTCCAACTCCTTTATTCACGATACCGCGCTCGAAATTAGATTTTGTCGAAAAAAAAACATTTTGCTGGTTTGGACGAAAGTTTTCAGAGAAAAAGCAGAAGACGGTGAATTCCTCAAAAATCGCTTTTTATTTCTGCATGTTATTTTTAATGCATATTTGCGACGCAAAGCCTTGAAAGGCATAAGAGACCGTGTCAGGCAAGATAAAAACATCTCCATTATGAACTTCGATGTCATGATATGGATTTTAATAGAACCGTCCGGAGTCGGAGTTGGAGTTGGAGTCGTAGTCAATCCAACGCCCCGGTAGCCGGGGGTGTTGGATTGGATTTTAAAGGCCGGAGTCGGAGTCGGAGTCACCCTAAAATCCATCGACTTCACAGCCCTGAAACAATAAAACCAGATGGATGTGTCAGAAGGAACTATCTAGCCCAATAGGCAATAAAGGTGTCGGGAAGAACGATATAGGCAGACGGAGGTGTAAGAGGGCAACAGCATAGGAGTATTGAAAGGGAGTGTGCCTTTACCGCATTACCAACTTGCATTCCCTAGAATTTTTAGTCCGTCCAAACAGGTAGGTAGGCACTAAGTAGCAGGCATCGGTAGGATTGTGATTGCAGGATTGCAAAATCCTGATTGCATTCCTTTTTGGTGGATTGCACATGGATTTGAAATCCATTCCAAAAAACAGGATTTGATTGCGGATTAGATTGCATCAGACTTCAAATTTTTGCAATCCAATCCAGATTGTGTTTGATTAGTGCTTTGAAATGGTTTGTTGCGATTGAAAATTATGAGATCGGCTTCATCGGCTCAATGTACTTTGCTATCAAGGGCTTTACATCGAAACTTGAAATAAGTTAAACGCTTTTAATTTAAACGCTCAAAATAATATACGCTGACGAACTACAAAGGAAGGGCAAAATTACGTATTTGAGAGCGAGTTAAAAAAAAATAACACTGGTTGGGTAGGGGTTTAAATGTGGGGGAGTTTGAGGCAAAAAAATATTTCCCATAAAATACCTGTGCCTTAGATAGGAATTACTCGCAAGACTAGGTACTAGAAATGGGTGATTTGGGGATGGAGGCACGGTCCTATGCCCCCCTCCCTCCCCCAGATCCACTAGTGCACATAATAATACAACAGGATTGCAAAAAAGGATTGCGGATTTGATCGCAATCCAAGTGAAAAAAGGGGATTGCGGGTAGGAACGCAATCCACTTCGGCACTAGGAATGTGGATTGAGAATGCAATCCTTTCAAAAAGGATTTTACCGATGCCTGCTAAGTAGGCATAACCACTAACCAGTGAATTCAGTGCCCTGCCAAGCGTCAGAGCTTCAGCGGCCACTCGGCTAACTACACCTTACCGACCTGCCCTCTAGAGGTCGCTCGCGTCGCGGTGGGTGCCGTTCACCTGTGGCCGATAGCCGGGGGCGTTGGATGCGCCGGCCGGCGGCCTCCCGAGTCCCACGGAGGTGTGGATTCGGCGGCGGCCCAGGTGGGCTTCCGGTGGCAGTCGCTTCTCCGTGAGAACGGCCGGAGTCGGAGCGGGCCGGTCCGGGTCCGCTGTGTCTGTGTGGGGGTGTGCCTGTGACCGTAGTAGCGACCGTGCTGTGATCGGTGCCGTTCTGTTCCCGCGGTGTTCCGACCCCGACGGGTCTGTGTCGGCGCGGTGGGCGGTGGGCGGCGAGGTATGCGTGCCCGCGTGCCGGCCGGACGCGGCGCGCTCCCCTGAGGCCCTCCGGCGCGGTTATGGCGCTCCTCAGACACTGCTTTTTCTGCTCGCTGCTGGTGGCCTGCGTCACCTGCGGCGTGATCGAGGCCGTGAGTACAGTGGGGCGGGTTTGTCAGAGGGCAGCGTGATTAAATTATTGGTCTAATCAAATTGCCGGGCGCTGTGCTTTGTGCAGTCAGTTTCACTTCCGTTCTACCTACCTACGTTTGATCACCCTCATTCGAATTACCTAATTGACCCATAATTCACCCACATTTCACGTAAGGTGCCGTTTCCCGATGACGCAACTGCTCAATCCTCATGGACACCCGAAGTTTTTATTCGTGGACTGAACGTGTTATGTTATCCGCAATGTGCATCATTGATGCAAAAACATCGCGCTATAGTAAGTCAGTGCTCACTGCTCACAGTGAACGTCCCGTGTTGGTGTCTCCAACACCTATGGAACCGCCAGGACCGGATCACGGTGCGTTATACGAATACCTTGTCCACTCAGGCTGATAGCCCTCATGGCTGCTGGACCACCGCAGAATTGTATAGCATGCATCCAGCTCCTGAGTTAGTGAGTCAGGGAGCTTTTCCGTCTTCAAAAGCTCAATCTCGTTATTTTCTCGCCTCACAATTTCCTTGCTCATGATTAATTTCCAAACTTTGCCAAGTTTTTAACAGCCCAAGAGCGAACATGAAAGAGGTGAACAAATATACAAGCTAACATTTTCTATGTCCATTTTTATCCTTATTTCCCTTTTAGAAGACTTGGTCGCTAATCACAGCAGTTGCTTAACCTAATGAATATTGAATATCATTATTGACTATTGAGATGATGAAAATTAAATCGGCTTTGAAGACATTTAAACGCAGTTTGCCAGCTTTACTCACGCTGGTTTTAAATTAGCATTCAACAAACAACAGGGAAGAAACTGCCATTTACGACCGAAAGCGTCATAGCAGAGAAGGAAACAGTCCCTGCTTCAGGACTCTTCATCGCCAAAAATTGGCCTTTAATGTAATTACACCCGTCGCGGAAAACGTGGGAGCCGTATCCGGCATTGTGCGCATGAAACAGGATTATCGGTGAGGAGGTCGGAATTTTTGTATCCTGACCGGCCATGTCGCTTTGTTAAATCTAACAAACGTTCGCACACTTACGTCAGCGACCAATGATGCGCAGAAAACTAGTGGGCACACACGTTGCAGAACGATAAAAAACAACGGTCCAGTCTAATGCCAAACCACAGCGGAAGTGGTTTGCTGATGGAAAAGGGGCTTGGCAGAATCACAAGCAAGCTGTGCAGCGTGAGATTTCTATAACTTCGAGAGATGCGAGGTGCTAAATCGTGTATTTATGCGCAATACGGATCTGCAACACTGTAACGCACACGCACACTCATTTTCACCAAGTTCGGTCACTCACTCACTCACTCACTCACTCACTCGCTTATTGCACCCACATCTTGTCCTCTTCCTTTCCTCTATCTTGCCCTGCGTGAAGACGACGAGCCATGGCTCTGACCAAAGTAGGGCGGGGCGGAGCAGCGCGGGCGCCGGGCGGCGGGCGGTGGGCGGCGGAGTCGAGCAGTGCAGTGGGTGCAGCGTTCCCGGTTGGTCAGGGCGGCTCTCTGAGCGTGGCCCATTTCTCGTCCGCGCCGGAACGAACGCCGGGCACGGTCCGTTAGTGAAAAATACGACGGCTCGAGGCTGGAGAACACAGGGCCGGTGGCGCTTTGAGGAACGCTGTTTTGTGTTGGTGCACGGTCAACACTGGGGATAGTTTGCGTGTCGGTGACGAATTTGTGGTGGACAAAAGACGTGGACGAATGGACGCTTTGAACGCTGAACTGGACTAGACCACAAACGGACGCTCGATTTTGGACAGTGGACGGTAGACAGACTGTGGGCTCTGAACTGTAAACAGTGAACAGACAACGGTGGACAGACGACTGTGAGCAGTGAAAAGTGAACAGTGGACTATCATCATTGGACTATTGAGACAAAACGTGACTATATTTGAGAGCTCAAAAGTTTCGAGGTGACAACCAGACGGCTATTAGGAGATAAGACATAAAGTCAGGGCAACAAATGTCCACCAGCGTCAATTGCTCTAACACCCAGCACTGAGCCCGCCAAGGTGCCACCCATCAGTCCCCTGCGGCCTTCCGATGGGTCTCGCCAGTGACCCGCCGCCACGGGCTGGCGGCTGGCCGGTCAGCGGTCTCCGAGTGACCACCACCGCCGGGAAGTCGGTGTGGAGCGGGCCGACGGCGGCGTCGTCCCAGCTGTCCCAGCTGTCTCAGCTGTCCCAGCTCTCCCGGCTGTCCCAGCTCTCCCGGCTGTCACAGCGCAGTCCCACCACCCCGCTCATGTCGTACCCCATCCTCGGCTGGCCAGGTCTGACCGGAATCATGTTCCGATCCTACCCGTACGTTGTCGTCTTGGACGCGGTGAGTACCTGCACGTCATGCGGAGAAAGAACGGATCAAAACTTTCAGACGGCATATATCTGTAACGTAGTTTCGCCGAGACTATGAGCTGCCTTTCATGACACCTGACTGATTTATTTGTTGCGTGCAGCGAGGTACTTTTCAGGAGCAATTTGGTATGATTACTTGAAGCAGGTTCAGGGGTCAGGTGGTATCAAACCACATGATACCTTGGGTACACGCATGGCCACTTATGAATTGGCACGAGTACGGAGTGCAAATAACTCATGCCACGGTAAAAGTCGGTTTCAACTTTGAAGTTGTTCGCCATACCAGGTATGAAATAACCGTGGCAGCTCACACATGAATGCGCTGATGCTGGCCATTTTCGACACTTCATTTGTGCCCATGTATTTATGCCGGGTTTGTTCACGATTTTACGGCGCAGCTGAAAAGAAGAGATGTGTCTCCTTTTATTTTACGATGTGGCTGTAGGCCCACTGCACCGGACATAGAATGAAGCCATTGTCCGTACCTCCCCGGCTCTCTATCGAATCTCCTCACCTACTTTGTAATACTAATTGGCCGGAAAGCGGCGTGCGTCCGAGGAGAATGTGGGCCAGGGGTGCAGCGCGGGTCGGCCGGGTCAGCGCCGGTCGGCCCGGGTCACTAAGGTCACCGTCACGTGGTCAGGTTCTGTCTGTCGGCGCTCGGCCGACGTGCCTTCTAATCGACCCGCATCGGCTCGAAGGTTCCGGACCTCGGCGCTGAAGGCGCCGCGCCGGCCGGCTGAATCCAAAAAATATAGGTGGGTGCGAGGACAGGCGACTGCATTCCGTGACGAACGCTTCACATCAGGGGGTGTGATTTAATCACACGGCCAGTGGGAGCTGCGGAAGATGGATGCCGTGTTTTGGTGGTGCTGTCTGGTGCGGAGAGTGGTGACGCACCAGAAATCGATCGGTCGGCCGTGACAGGTTTGTTACCGAGCGCGGAGAGAGCGTGCGAGCCTGTGGCGACGCTGACCGGTGTCTGCCAGTCGCTGTGGCCGCTGGTATGTGTCGGACAGACCGCCGGGACAGACAGACAGACAGACAGACAGACAGACAGACAGACAGACAGACAGACAGACAGACAGACAAACAGACAGATCGACAGACGCACAGAGAGGGTGACCACAGATACCGAGGCGGCGGCTCCGTCTGATGGCCAGACGCACTCCCGGACGGTTGGGAGGGCTGCTCCGCTCCGCTCGTGACTGTAGAGAGTTTCCATTGCACGTGCAGCACTGCTCATGGAGTCGGTGTGCCGGGGCAGGAAGTATGACCCCGCTGCGGGCGGATGTTGCGGGTCAGATAGAAAGTCGACCGGCCGGTGTCAGTGTCAGACGGGATCGTGTGCGGTACAGTGGGAAGCGGTTAGTGGAAAGATGTCAGAGGTTAACGCCGCGGCACAATCGGTGTCTCTGCTTCCAGAAATGTTATTGCTGCCTCCTGGCCAGTAGTCTGTCGGTGTTCTTGTGTGTTATACGACGTGGCCGGCTCCGTTTAGCGATTATGGGAAGGTTGCCGTAGTGGCAGCCGTCACCTGCCAGGTAGTTTCTCCTCTGGCCACCCGGCTTCACCGAGCGGGGAGGCTTGTGCTGTGAAAACTCGTCACGGTGTGGCGCCCAGAGAGCAGCCCACGACTGGCAGGAAAGATGAGAACCGCCCTCATGAGCCCGGCGGTATCTCGGCTAATGACAGTGCCGCGGTAATTAATGGTCAACTGGCTCTGTTTGAGTGTAATTTTAGCATCTCCTGTGGAGGAAAATATCATTTTCCCTCACTTTTCAATTAAAATTAGCATAAAGTTTCTATAAAGCTCACACATTTCTGCTCACAGCGTTGTGTTCAAGTAACTTCAACATAATCTAACGTTTCACCAGCAATGTCCGTGATATCCCGCGTTCATTAGACGGCATCAACCAACCACTTACCACAGCTCTTAACATCTCAGCACACCGTAAAATCTGACGCTCCAGTTACCTCCGACCTCGGCTCGGCCGGCGCCGAATCCCGCAGCCTCCTCTCTGGATCACATCTGCAGTGATCCGTATCAGAGTTTCATAGTGTGACGTCCTATCCATAACACACAAACTCACGCACCATGCGGCGACACACCCGATACCGTTTCACCGGGAGACGGAGGAGTATCCAGAGTTCGCTTCTAACCTACAGCAGTCTGCGACTCACAGAATCGGAGACGATTCTCAGTCTCGGAGATGATTCGAAGATGAGTCGCCTATTCTCAACGGCAATTATCGAAACGTTTGTAAATCTCATGCTTGCACCTGCATAGGAGATGGTTGAGGCTGACGTGTGGTTTTTTGTTCCGCAGATAGCATACCTGATTGCTTTTGGTGTGCAGCTATGGTGGATCGTCGACACAAAAGGTAGGCACAAGGGTGAAGGAAGAACTGCACCGATTCATTAACGGTGGGATTGGGCAGCGTATTACGGACGTGACGTGTTAGCTGTTTACTACTGTTTGCCCAATAAGTTCAACCCGTCAGTTCAGTTATTTAGCTAGAAGCATGTAGAAACTGTAACGTAAAAGCGTATCTTTCTAGCAACGAAAAAATGGCATGACACCCTGTCTTTTTTACAGAGACGATGCCAGCACCAGCCTACATTCTGTGTGCGGGCTACCTCATCATGCTGCTTATATCCCTCATAATGCTCATTGGGATAGCGATGGTAAGTGATCGATATGGCCGCATAACATATTTATTTAATGCTATTGCGTTGTTTTTATGATTTTTGTTCAACACAATAAATTTAGAAAATGCGAGGTTCCTAGCTAAGGTAGAAAAAGCATATTGAATCGTGAGTTCATGCACTCCTTGCAACATCCGGTGTTTAATCTTTGCATAGTTGACCTCACGTGGACGACTGACGTCATGTATGACGTCGCTAAGGTCATATACGTTGTTTGTCAATAAGTTCTGGTCAAATAGAGCTAGCGAGTCGGAAAGGCCATTATAAGGCTCAGAAAGACCTGCCAAATCGAGTGGCATGCCATATGATCTCTTTCGACCAGCTTCGTGACATGACAGGCTCTGACCTGACCTTGGCATGAGGTCAACACCCTTATTCACTTATTACGTCAACACCCTTAGTTAGCCTCACCCAAAGGTATATCATTCGACGCGCCTGAGTATGAAGAACACGATTGTGCACAAAATTGCGGCTCTGCGGCAATTTTTGGTGAATTTATTTCAAACAAAAACCCGGCCCGAACCTTGGGACACTTGACCTGACCTCCGAGTACACTGGATGACCTAAAACCTTTGAATCGGGAACCAGTCGCTGCATCTCGTAGGCGCACACCATCGTTTTTTTGTGAGGCTCTAGCGGTTTTGGGCGAAACGGCAAGTGCGATACGGGCGTCATGCAGCCCTCCTCGTATATGTAGAAATCCGACAAGTCCGGTGATGGCTAAAATTCGGAATCGTTAAACCTTCCCCGCCGCTGCCCTATGCTGACCTGACCTTTAGCCTGACCTGAAAATTTAATTAATGCGGTATAAATGATCTTCTGTCGATGTTTCGAACGCCGCTTATCCTCCCCTCCCTCTCCCAGACCAGAGCGTGACTGTTGATTATAAAGTTGTCGAGGGGCTCACGTTAACGAATAAAGAAGTGTGATTACGTGTTCAGTAGTCAATGTAGCGTTCTTTTCAGAAAATTCCATTGAAACAACATAGACGGACAATTTTTTATTGATGTTACGAGACACTAACAAGTGGTTAAGACATGTGGCAGTTTTTAATGAAGATTGATGCTTTCAAATAATCATTCTCTACAAACATCAGTATATCGTAAGAACTTTCTGCATGCATTTACATATAAAAGTTCCTACGATATAAAGAGGCTAATGGAGAATAGCTTTTTCAAAACTTCGATCTTCAGATAGTGATCGTTCATTTTTTTGAGCGAGCGAGGCTCATTTACACTTTCGGTAAGCCTTTCAGATGGATTTTGAGGCCTAATAGTCTTCGTTTTCTTCACCCTCTCCTTCGACCGAATCGATACCGACCTCTTCGAAATCTTTCTCTAACGCAGCCAAGTCTTCACGAGCCTCGGAGAACTCGCCCTCCTCCATGCCCTCGCCGACGTACCAGTGCACGAAGGCGCGCTTGGCGTACATCAGGTCGAACTTGTGGTCCAGGCGGGCCCAGGCCTCGGCGATTGCGGTGGTGTTGGACAGCATGCAGACGGCGCGCTGCACCTTGGCCAGGTCGCCGCCGGGCACCACGGTCGGCGGCTGGTAATTGATTCCGACCTTGAAGCCGGTCGGGCACCAGTCGACGAACTGGATGGTCCTCTTGGTCTTGATGGTGGCGATGGCGGCGTTGACGTCCTTGGGCACGACATCACCGCGGTACAGCATGCAGCAGGCCATGTACTTGCCGTGGCGCGGGTCGCACTTGACCATCTGGTTGGCCGGCTCGAAGCAGGCGTTGGTGATCTCAGCAACTGAGAGCTGCTCGTGGTAGGCCTTCTCCGCCGAGATGACCGGAGCATAGGTGACAAGGGGGAAATGGATGCGCGGGTACGGCACCAGGTTGGTCTGGAACTCGGTCAGGTCCACATTGAGCGCGCCATCGAAACGCAGTGAAGCAGTAATGGATGAGACGATCTGGCCAATCAAACGGTTGAGGTTCGTGTACGTTGGTCGCTCAATATCGAGATTCCGGCGACAAATATCGTAGATGGCTTCATTATCAACCATGAAGGCGCAGTCCGAGTGCTCCAGGGTGGTGTGGGTGGTGAGGATAGAGTTGTAGGGCTCGACGACGGCTGTTGCAATCTGCGGTGCCGGGTAAACAGCAAACTCCAGCTTCGACTTCTTGCCGTAGTCGACGCTGAGACGCTCCATCAGCAGTGAGGTGAAGCCGGAGCCGGTGCCGCCGCCGAAGCAGTGGAAGATGAGGAATCCCTGAAGGCCAGTGCACTGGTCGGCCAGCTTCCTGATGCGATCCAGCACCAAATCGACGATTTCCTTGCCAATGGTGTAATGCCCACGGGCATAGTTATTTGCTGCGTCTTCCTTGCCTGTGATCAGCTGCTCCGGGTGGAACAGCTGCCTATACGTTCCGGACCTAACTTCATCGACAACAGTGGGCTCCAAATCGACGAAAACGGCCCTTGGGACGTGCTTTCCAGCTCCCGTCTCGCTGAAGAAAGTGTTGAAGCTGTCATCTCCGCCACCGACAGTCTTGTCAGAAGGCATCTGTCCATCGGGTTGGATTCCATGTTCCAGACAATACAGCTCCCAGCAGGCGTTACCGATCTGGACACCAGCCTGGCCAACGTGAATAGAAATGCACTCGCGCATGGCTGCAGTTAGAGAAAGATTCGAGTTCGGTTCGGTTCGATCGAGCGAGAGTGCCAAAAAGGGAAAAGCCGCGTTACGGAGCCTCCTCTCTTGGGCACACACCTTTCGAAAATGAAAACTTCATGTCAGACGAAATGATTAGCCAAGAAATCGGTCTCGTGCGAAAACACTGCTTCATGATTGGTTGAATTTTCCCGCCATACCGGGATCACGCATTGAAAGTGAAAAATCCTTCATGAAAAAGAAATTTCATTTTCGTAGCCGAGGTCCGTGCGTATCGGGCATATGAACCCACAGGATTGTGATATCAAAGATAAGTAGGAACTTCCGGCTTCGCATATTTAACTTTCAATAAAATTTTCAAATTTACACGTCGGCACTTGGTAAATGTAACCAATCAAATACTGAAATCAGAAGGTTATACCCAAAATTCATAACGTATTTTCATCGTCCATGAAATAAAAGAAACTGAGGAAAGCAGTCACCATTTCAGTGATAAAGGAACCTGTAATAGAATTTAAACAACCGAACACCAGTAGCGCCCAAAAGTCTCTCGTTTATTCACAAAATTCTCCAAACAAATTTGTACGTACAATTATTTCCGCGTGGAATAACTTCACGCACTTCAATAATCATACCACTTCTGACACACGCCCCTCTGATCTTCAAGATCACTAAAACGCACACACACAAAATATCAAAAACATTATCTTCGGTCATAAAACCGCGGCCAAACCGTGCACCTTAATCGGTCAACAAACCGGAGCACTCGCCGCTCACCACCCGGGCACCATCACCGGGCACCATCGCCGGTCTCCAGCACCGGTCTCCAGCACCGGGCTCCATCACCGGTCTCCATCACTGGGCTCCTCCAGCACCGGTCTCCATCACCGGGCTCCACGACCAGTCACCATCACCGGGCTCCATAACCGCGGTCTCCAGCACCGGGCTCCATCACCGGGCTCCACCACCGGGCTCCATCACCGGTCTCCATCACCGGGCTCCATCGCCGGTTACCATCACCGGACTCCAGCACCGGTATCCAAACTGGACAAAATCGAATCGATCGTTGGTTCGTTGTCGTGCCTCGCCTCTTCGCCATTTTTAGCTTTCTTTATCTTCCCTGTCGAATTTTCCCTTATTTATACAATACCGTAACTAGACCGAGATAAGGCCGAAATAGCTTGTAATAGAATTTAAACAACCGAACACCAGTAGCGCCCAAAAGTCTCTCGTTTATTCACAAAATTCTCCAAACAAATTTGTACGTACAATTATTTCCGCGTGGAATAACTTCACGCACTTCAATAATCATACCACTTCTGACACAGAACCAAATCGACTTCAATTTTCAATAGAATGAAGCGTTTTAACAATGTTATGGCATTATTATTCAGCAAATATATTCTCGTCGATCTTTTCTTTTGCAAAAATACGTTTGTGCGACGTGCTTAGTGTATGGTGTGACGTTTGATTCACGCTTCAACTTTTTTTCAGAAACGCTCACGGTACCTTCTCGCCTGGCTTCTGGTCATGATTGTCTTCTTCTTCCCTGAGATGGGCATGGTGCTTTTTATGAGCATATATCATTGGGTAAGATAATCGTCGGCGTTACGGGCGACTTTAACGCCACTCAGAAGGCACCAGGAGGAGACTGCATCAGTGCACACGAACGTATCTCGGGGCTGGAGACGCGCGATGCGGCTTCCGGCTTAGATAAGGCAATTTGCATTATCTAAATCGCTTAACATAGCAATGGATGCTTAGGTGCTTATGATGAAACTTTCTGGATGGGATATTCCAACATCTACAAAAATGGATCAATGAGATGGCATGCGAAGGACTAGTGATACTTCAAGCCCTTCATCATAATTATTTGTGAATTCTTTGCGTAAATGTCTTATATATTTGCTGTCTTCCTTTCCTCAGAACATTGAATCAGACTACGGTCTTGGTGACCTCGTATTCTACATATGCAGAGCTGGATTAAATGTAAGTGAGGGAAAGGTTGAGCAATGTACAATATCGTTATTGAACATACATATTTAATTATTGTCGTTAATCATTATATTAGTCCTATGTTAATTTTTTTCCTCTCTTGACCTTATTTTCTTTTTATGAATGGTATAACTTTTCCAATCACAAAGACAAAATAGAGTAACTTTAGTTTCAGTCGTCGCAGGCATTGATGGATCTTCATGAACGTAATGAGCAATTTAGAAGTCCAAACACATTTCGATGCATGACAAGTTACTTACGCTTTTATAGCAATACATAACTGCTCGTTTGTTGAAATGTACCAATTAATCTTCTTTTTGCAGCTGGTTTCTCTAATATGTATCCAATCATTGCACGCTACATGGAAGGAAGAAAAGTTTTCGTTGCATAGGTTGGAGTCGCTAAACATGAAGGTAAGTCCCTATATTACCTACGTCCTAAATGAAAGGGGATTGAGTATTCTTTCCAGAATCATTTAACAGCACAAAACATCGCTTACGAAAGTCGCTAAATAATTTTGAAACAACCTAATATCTGCCGTGAACACCGTGAAAAACTGCCGTGAAAAATTGTCACCCACCTACTTATCATTGCTATCCATTAAATCGTCACGCACCATAAAGCATGAAGCACCGTGCCATTGTGTCACCGTGTTATTACGCATTTAGCTACATTACAACACATCTACAACTGAGCGTCGCGCCCACCAGCCCCTCGGTCGTCAGCGTTCTGTGACCGCAGCGGCCCCCTCGCCAGGTGGGTCCGTCCGTTTTGCGGAACGGCGCGGTGGACCGGGCCTTCCACGGCGGGGCCATCACCTATACGAACGGGGTGCCGATGGCGGCACCGGCGCTAGTCAGGTGAGACACGAGCTGGGCGACCCGTGTCAGAGGTGTCAGAGGAGGTGTCAGAGATGTCAGAAGGAGTTTATGAAAAAAGCATTCGGTGATGTTAGTATCGTGCAATAAGAACGACTAGTTAGTATTGTACAATAAGAACAGTTTGTATAGTTACAGTTTTAATTTGTGTCATGCTCTTGAAGGGCGAATGAAATTGGTAGGAATGTATGAAATGCACGATTGTTAGCTATTCGCTCTTTAGCAATTGCACCTCTCGCTTGGTTCCTGCTCTTTGACAGCGAAAGTGACTCCTGAGAGTGTGTTCAACCGAGAGTGACTGCTGAGAGTGAGTTCAACAGAGAGTGACTGCTGAGAGTGAGTTCAACTGAGAGTGACGCGGCCTGGGAGTCGGCTGGGAGCTGTTTCTCAAATGATGACGGTGCTTACATCCATGGTTGACTCTCTGGGATTTCGCTGTTCGCACCAGTGCAACTGGCGGCGGCGGGGAGGAATTTCATTTCCGCTCATGTGTCAGTGCCGTCCGTGCGGATATGTCGCATTCGATGTTGAAGCATAGCTTGAATGAAATCCCTAGTCTACAGATGAAATGTTTGTGTATTTCCGTCTTTTTTAACTCTGCGTACCAATTGGGACGCGGTTTTATGTACGGCTCTCGCGAGATTAAGCGGTAGGTTTTGCACATTTACATTTCCGGTTATATCTCAGAAACTAATCGATCTACAATGAAGCCATTTTACACTATCATGGCCGGCTTGTGAACCAACAAGTCGATCGCATCTTCAACACTTAAAAGCTTAAGACGACGAAGATATAGCCTGAAGTTCACTAAATTTTCTAGGTGCAAAACCTACCGCTAAAACCCGCGAGACCTGTACCAAATTTGCAACCTGAATGAGAGCTGCGAGCTGACCCGAACTCATATTTCCGTTTGATTGAGCTCAATGATTTTATCAAGATGTCAAAGGTGACGACCTGGTGCGATATCTCTCGATAATGACCAGCCCTCTGCACACCGGTTGATGACCTGACCTGACCTCTGACCCCTCAGATCGGTATCGTCGGCGTCTCAGTACGCGGCGGCGGCTGCACGCTCGGGACGTAGTCAGTTCAACGCCGCCTTCTACGGCCTGGGCGGCGGTGCGCCCGTGGTACGGGCTCAGAGCGCGCTAGGTGTCGGCGTCGGCGAGTTCCCCACCTTCGCGTACGAGGTGAGACCTCGGGGCAGACTATCAATTAACGCAAATGAAGAGGGAATTTATGACAGTCAGGCAAAGTATCTAAACAGCTAGCCATTTTTTATGGAAATGACTGATCGAACAGGCACTTAGGAATAGTTTGTGTTGTATTTATTTCGTATCATCTTTCATTCTCATAACCGAAAGTAGTGCTTCTCCGCAGTTATTTCCGTGGCTGCCTCGTAATGTATACTCACTCGTCCGTCGTCTCATTTCCATGCTGATTTCATTAGCTCTCGAGGCACACATTTCACCCGCCGAATGTATACTAATTCCCGCTCGTATCCGCCAGGTGCCGCACCTGGTGTACGTGCCGCGGTACGGTACCCAGTCGCTCGACCGGCGGAAGATGGGTCGCGGGCCGCGCAGGAGCACCTCCATGGACGCTCTCAACCTGGGCGGCTCGCTGGTGCCGGGCGTGACGCCGTGCCACTGCTGGATGGCAGCCGGTCAGCCGCGGCGGCAGCACGAGAGCAGGAGCTCGCTGGGAGCCGAGTCGGACTCATACCGGTACAGGGACGTGGCGCTCTGACCGGTGTACCGGGTCGGGTACACTGGTCGTACCGGTACAGAGACGTGGCGCTCTGACCGGTGTACCAAGTCGGGTTCACTGGTGTGGTGAGCTGGCGGACAGTTGTGTCCTCTGGTGGCCTCTAGTGTGCTCTGCTGGCTCTGCTCGTCTTCCGGGACGGGAAGACGCGAACTGTGGCCTGCCTGGAGAGCCAGGTCAGAAGAGCCGCCCCGCTCTGAGTGCTAGTGACGGATAGAATCCGGGAAAACGGGACAGCAGATGGGATGGTAGTGGGTTCGTATTCAGGGAGCGTCAAACTGCCGCCGAGCTAACGGTCGGAAAACGGAGTAGAATACTGCCTCACAGTGTCGATAGTGGCGCTTTGTGGCTCGTTCTGTATGAATGGACCCGGTACCTGACCGCCTGGGTCTCCCGGTCGCCGCCGTCGGCTCGGGGCTGGCTCCCGGCGCGTGTCGACGTCTCGCGGAGGCCATATGGTGATGTGGGGGTGAGGCGGCCGTCGGTGCCGCCTCAGAGAGCGCCGGCCTTGTCAGAAGAGAGTGGCGTCATCACTCCCGCCCACTCCGCCAACACACCGTGTGTCGACATTGAAACAGGGGAGTGCCGCTCTCCGTGACGGTGAGTGCCCTGACATCTACCGGTAGGATAAGGAGGTAGGTGGTTGTGCTGCCATCTGTTGGGAAGGTACAGAGGTTGAGGTCCCAAGGTGAGGTCTTCTCAGGTGAGCTTACTGCCATCTGCTGGTAGTGCGTAAAACCTGTGCCTGCCTCGCTGAACCATTGAGGTGCTGGTGCTGCCATCTCTCGGCGTAGTTGCGTTTGAAGGATGCTCTCGACTCCTCAGCTGGCCGTCATTGCCTGCTTACGAGTGTGCCTGCTGGTTCACCGTTCCGTGCTTCTATCCTCAGGATACTGAAATCCTTCTCCTCCACGCCACAACCCCCCTCCGGGCTGGACAAGCAACTTTATCTCATGCGGGCTGCTCCCTTGGAGCGGCACCGCTGCTCCCGAGGGAGCGCACCCCGTAGCCGGGTGCAGTGAGTGCCTTGGGGCTGGGTGGCCTGTCCTCCGGACGGGCTCAACCCCGGCGACTCACTAGGGTGCCTGCCCAGACCAATGTCTCCCCCTATATCCTATCATCCTCCCGGCTCTGAAATGGTCTTGTCAGACCGAAAGGGCCTAACCCAACAAAACAAACAAACCTGCTGGTTATTGGCTAAATCTCCTTGCGATGTGATTGTGAATGCGACTGAAGTTACAGCCACACCGAGCTAATCCGCTGTAAACTTGCCGGTTATTGAATAATGGATCACGGAGTAATCTTGTGATGTTGGGATGATGCCTAATTTTCTATAGTTTCGGCAGCTAATGAAGCTGCAAGCGGTAGTCACCACCCGAGTCAAACTGGTTTCACTATGACCTCTGTTGAAGTGTTTATATTCCACCGAGCCTCTCAGCTGGGCACCAATGACTCGGTCGGACCATGACTGGCACTCCTCTACACTCCATGCCACTGAGAGTTGGGTCCGAGTGCAATGTGTGCATTAGATGTGTCAGTGGCAGTCCGTTTTCGCGGCGTGTATTGACAGGCGTGCGGCATGCTGATGACATGGTGTTTACCACGCTCGGATGGTAGTGGTAGTTGGTTCAGCCCTCACTGACAGGGCGGCGCCTTTGCTCAGTGAAGTCCGACATGTCATTAGAGTGAAGTAAAAACTCGATAGTGTCTCAGCGATGTCACTGTGTCGGGGTGAATGAGCAATGAGCATACCTACCATTTGGCGTGCTATGTGTACTGTGATAACAGGCTTAAATAGATCTATTTTAGTGGTCCGAGCAGGTCACTGTAGGTAGTGTAGGTAAAGTCTTCGCCTACCTCTCCTGTTACCTGTGGAAATAAAAGTATTCATTGTTCAAATATTTTACTAGAATAGATGTGCGAATACGACAGTGTTTTGCGCGACAACAGCATGTCTATATTTTTCTAGCATTTTATTGTTTATATTTTGTTCTTCTGGTTTCGCAATGTGATCAATAAATGTAAGGTGTCCTGATTTTTGCTCAGTCGTTTTGTACGCTTCCAGCCCCATCACGTAAAATACAGTGAATACCTAATTTTCACCTCCTCGGTCCTTAAACATTCAGTTTCACAAAAATAATACAACTTCTATTAATCATTCCCGAAATCCACACATCACATCAATTCCACCACGCATTCCTCTTCCTCTACCTCTATCCCACCCGGGGAGCATTCATTCTGGCCAGGGTTCATAATGTCCAGGGTACGCTCTGCCCAGTGTCAAAATGGCCAGTGCCTTGAATGGGCCAGAGTTCATAATGTCCAGGGATTGCATGGTCCAAATGTGGCCAACTGGCTGCAGATAGGGTATATTCAAAGAGGCCAGGGTTCATAATGTCCAGGGCACGATGTGTCCAGTGTTCAAAATGGCCAGGGTTCATAATGTCAAGGGCACGATGTACCAGTATTCGAAATGGCCAGGGTTCATAATGTCCAGGGCACGATGTGTCCAGTGTTCAAAATGGCCAGTGCCTTGAATGGGCCAGAGTTCATAATGTCCAGGGATTACATAGTCACTGAAATTGACGTCATTATGTAAAAAAAACACGGAATCAGCTCAATGCAAAGCAGTGCAGTGCCGAAGGCAATGCCTTAGGAGAGATTACAGGCAATAGTAAATCAAATATTTTTAGGTCAAAATGGCCAGGGTTCATAATGTCCAGGGCACGATGTGTCCAGTGTTCAAAATGGCCAGTGCCTTGAATGGGCCAGAGTTCATAATGTCCAGGGATTACATAGTCACTGAAAGTGACGTCATTATGTAAAAAACACGGAATCAGCTCAATGCAAAGCAGTGCAGTGCCGAAGGCAATGCCTTAGGAGAGATTACAGGCAATAGTAAATCAAATATTTTTAGGTTAACCCGCGCCCTGCTGGGGGTCCTGGATTTCCACGCCCTGCTGGGGGGGGGGGTGTTTGAACACCCCCCCTTGTAACTCGGCTCCTGGGCCACGTAGCGATACGCGGAAGGCGGCGTTCGAAAGAGCGTCAAAAATAATGACGAAATCACTTCGGTCAATTTTTTGGTCAGGTCAAAGGTCAGGTCACCAGAGGTCATTGAAGGCAAAATTTCGCCGATTTCCAGGTCGAATGTCGAAAATTTCCAAGAAGCCAACGCATATCTCGGGAACCAATAGAGCTACAGCGCCGCGGAAAAGCGCATTCGATAGCCCTATTAACGCCCTTTCTGAGTAATTCTCTCAGATTTGACCTAACGTCAGCGGTTTTGCCTGCAGGGGGCAAAAACTGCAAAAATGGCCGATTTTTTCGAAAACAGTTTTTCTGCAATAACTTTTGACCCAAGCCTTGTACGAGCTTACTTTTACCGGCATCGTGTTCCTCTCGTTAAGACGCATCGAATGAACTATAACTTGACCTTGAAAGGTCAACTTGAAAATTTGACCTCAGGTCAAGGTCATGGCCTGACCGGAAAGGGTCATGTTGCATATCAGTCGATCCGTATCGTCGAGCTGAACACATCTAAGGCGTTTTCATCGCTCTAGCATGCCTCTATCAAAAGTTATTTGCGAAAAACTGATAGATACCATTCGTGACCTAAGATGACCTCAGGGCATAAACAAGGGTCACGGACACCATTTTCAAGTTCAGTGTGTCTAAACCACTTGTAATTCGGTGTTTGGGAGTGTTTATAATGTCTTTCATCCAAAAGAGGCGCATTTCAATTTTCTCCCATTGACTTATAATGGGGAGGTCGCAAAATTGACCTGACCTTAGGTCATCGATATCAAAATTCTGAGATATACATTATGTACATGCTATTGCTCTTAGCAATCGCTGAAAGTTTCAAAGCGATCGGTCACTCGGTGTAACTATGACAGACATTGAAAGTTTTTATGAGGTGAGGTCACTTCAAGTGACCTGGTGACCTGACCTTGAATGACCTTGGTCTGAAATTTTCACAACATGTGTAGAATTGATGTATGATAAGGTGTACCAAAAACGGCGGCGCTTTGAGATATTCGCGAAAAACCACAAGGGGTGTTCAAACACCCCCCCCCCCCCCCCAGCAGGGCGCGGGTTAAGTGGTTATGTATCTGGCTTCAGGCCGAAGGCCTGAAGCCTGATGCATAACCACTTAACCTAAAAATATTTGATTTACTATTGCTTGCAATCTATTCATGCGAGACACTATTTCCTTATCCCTGGTAGGCAAACATCATTACCTTAGGTTAGGTTAGGTTAGGTTAGGTTAGGTTAGGTTAGGTTAGGTTAGGTTAGGTTAGGTTAAAGCCGGTTAGGTCAGGTTAGGTTAGGTTAGGTTTGGTTGGGTTGGGTTGACTATGTAATCCCTGGACACTATGAACTCTGGCCCATTCAAGGCACTGGCCATTTTGAACACTGGACACATCGTGCCCTGGACATTATGAACCCTGGCCATTTCGAACACTGGACACATCGTGCCCTGGACATTATGAACCCTGGCCATTTTGAACACTGGACACATCGTGCCCTGGACATTATGAACCCTGGCCTCTTTGAATTTACCCTATCTGCAGCCAGTTGGCCACTTCTGGACCATGTAATCCCTGGACAATGTGAACACTGGCCAATTCAAGGCACTGGCCAATTCGAGCACTGGACACATTGTGCCCTGGACATTATGAACCCTGGCCTAAATAATACGCACCCATCCCACCCTGTTTGGATTATTCACCACTCCCCCAGTCCCCCCTCTCCATCCACCCCTCCCGCGCCGTCAGCAGCGGCCCGGTAAGGCCGCCGGTCCCGCTCGGGCGGGGGCGGGGCGGTTTATGGACGCCGCCCGAGCAGACGGCGCCCCGCCCCGATCCCCGTGCGATCTCCGTCCGTAGATGGTATTGCTGCTGCGCACGGTCTGACTGCGCGCGATGCCGGCCCGGAGACCCGCCAGCTGCGACCCGAGGTCAGCCCGCCGCAGGCGGACACAGGGTGTGGGCGGCGACACGGCGGGAAACCTGAGCGGCACCGGGGAAATGACGGGGCAGGGGCTCTGCTCCCTTATTACGGCGAGGGCAGGCGGAGGCTGATGGAGCACCCGCGCCGCGGCTCCTACCGCCGCGCGGCCCCGAGTCATTGATGGCAGCGCTGATACCATTAATGGAAGTCTACCTGTGCTGTATAGCTGGAGCATCTGAATTTAGGCATCTGAAGAAACATATGGGGAAATGATCACTTTGATTGCTCACTAAAATCGTTGCTTTCGCAAAAGCCAACTGTGCGCTGTAAATCAGGAGCGCATTGCATCTGTTTGTCTTTCGGTAAGTAGGTACATGGATTTGCTTTTCGCTGCTACATTTATTAACCTATTTTGTCGTTACTCGTTCAGAAATGCTGTTTAGATAACGACCGGTTTTAATGCAACAGCCTGCAAAGAGCAAGGTCTCTCTTCCCGTCGAACGCCTCGAAACAATTAATCTCGACGCTGAATCCTGTTCTTATCCATTTCGCTTGTTCCAAAACACAGAAGCCGGCTTCTGTGGCAGCGAATCTATTACGCTGCGATTGGTATCTTCACTCCACCGGTCTGCGCGCTGATTGCTCACGGAGCAATACGAGTACAACCAGCCAACCGTTCGAGTCTGCCACAAACGGGCCAGCTCGGGGCGGCCAGTCGGACTCGGCAGCCGGAGCCGGTTTTCGGACGGGTCTCTATCTGTCCGGGGCGGGCGGACGGCAGGCCGGTGGGCGGCGGCGGGGGCGGCGACTGCACGAGCGGAGCTCCTTTTCGAGCAGTGACAGCTGCCGGTCGCCGCCCACGGCAGCCGCCGACTGACGGTCACCGGGAACTCTTTTCACCGGGTGACGGTGGAGTAACGGTGACGGTCGCCGTCCCCGCGGCGGCAGCCTGCAATCTGCACCTCTCGGCGGCCGCA